TCAGCTGGACACCGTGTCGTATCAATTCTACATGTCGCCAGTTGGAAATACGGTAAAACAACTGCCCAAGGCATGGTGCACTGTGGCGGTGTGCTCGTTTTGCAAGTCCCTGCTGCAGCATGCTGCAGCATTACTATCTTTACCCCGAGATTGACAGGAGATGAAACGCTAGAGAAACACTTGAGACAACGCTGTGGAAAGCAATGGTCAAAACCTGCAATCACATCGATAGCATGCGGCTTTGATCGTCTTCAGAGCTTGCATTCTCAAGAGCGTGGAGCGCTCAGATGGCCCGAGCTAGCAGTAACATGCTGCAGGAATCTATGGAGACAGTGCAGTAGCAAAGAAACGAGAAACACGAGCAACCAAAGTGCCGCGAGCCCTTCACCGTAAAAAAACACTCACCAGAATATGAACTATATTACAAATTTTCTGGCTGTTATTATCATCATTATTGTCCACCTGGCTCCTCCTCTCCGGGGCCGTGGAGGAGAATCCTGGCATGCCCCTAAGACAAATTCTGAGTCATTGTAGCTGTGGGAAGTGATGGGCCCTACAGTATGGATCCAAAACGTCTACGAGTATTTGAGTTGACCTTACAGGGACCCTCTTTCTTGCGAGCGAGGACTCAGAGTTTTCGAAGGAAGGGCTGGTTTTGGCTTCAGAGCCACGCAGAGATTCCAGGGACAAGCTCGATCATTTAAAGCCGGCTTTGCTGGCAAATCGGCGTTTGTAGCCTGCACCCAGCAGTTCCTTGATGAAAACAACTCAGCTCGTTCCTTTGAAAACTGCATAAAACTGCACTGGGACGCAAAAGCCCCCATCAACGAAATCGAAATCGAAACTGAAGCTCTTGATGCCGGAATGGTCCAAGTCAAGCACTGTGCTTCGGATGGTTCTGTCCACCCCACCGGCCTCAGTGGCCTCTTTCTCCTTCGATCCTGATACCACAAGTCTGAAACATCTCAGCAAGATCAACCACTGCCGATAGCTTAGCAGTTCAACTCACGATCGGCGTTGATGGCCGCTGACCCTCAGGATGCCTTGTTCGACACGCGCCGCACTCTTCACCTCAGCTTCGCTGACCAAGGCACGTGCAAAACGGCCCGGAGTACGATCACACGGTCGTTGGGTTGCATCATTTACACCAACTGTAGATCTCCGAATAGCCATTCCCCAAAGGTTTCTTCTCACTCTCCCAGTCTGGGCAAGCCATACTCTCAATCGAGGGCTGGAGTCGCTGCCCCTTTAAATCTCTGCGAATGCTGTCCTTGTGGCATTGAAGTACTAAGCTTCTGGCGAACTCGTCCGTTCTTTCCTCGGGTGGCGGCCCCCAAGCATCGCTTACTGTTCCTCTGACACTTTGCTAGCTTGGGCAATCAACACTCATCAAGAATCCTTGCAGAGTGAACCGTCAGCAAAACCTAGCAATCGCCCACGACAATGGGCAGTCTGCGCTGAGGGCCCTGCCTTCTCCTGCCTCATTGCACCATGCAAGCTCAGGCAAGCTCAAACTGCCAAGAACTCGGCACAGCTCCGAGGCTTCGACTGTTCATTGTCTTCTGCTAGCTGAAAGCCCTAGCGCATGAGGTGACATGATCAGCCGAAGCAAACCTCTGCTGTTGCACTGCAGGCAACGATGCCGACAAAGCCTTCAGCAAGGGCTCGATGTCAGCCAGCGCAGGGATAACCGTCATAACTGGCAGGCAGCAATTTCTAAAGCCACCCTGCCCAAATGCTTACAGTCTGCAAGGTGCATGGTCCCAACAAGCCAATAACAAAAGCACTCCGGTCTCTGAGTTCCTGCCCAAAACTTCCGGAACCTGGTGCCGGACCCCCGGAAGGGCGAATGCGGCCGTTTCGCTCTGCGGCACCTTAGCAAGTGGAGCTTCAGCGACAACTGATGCTGTACTTGATGTTGAGGTTATCGGATGTGTACATGTACACTGCGCGTGCGTCTATTTACATGTGGGTACATGTACACATACGATTCTTTGTAGAGACACAAAGAATATCATTATGCATCTATCTGTCCGTCTACCTTCCTACCCACCTGCTCATCTGCCTATCTGTTTTTTCCGTTTTCGCCCGCTCTCCCTGTGCTGTCGTTCAAGCATGTCTGCATGCTTGTGCGATCCACATTGCATACCTGCGTAATGTGTTTGTTTACGTCGCCGGCGAGTACACCAACGGACAAGTACACATCTGAATCCATGTCTGGTCTAGGTCTACCTGCATGTCTGTGCACAGCAAAAAGGATTCCCGACCCAAACCCTTTGTCGCTGTGCTTAGTTGCATGCTCCACCATCCCAGGCGCAAAGGCTTGTCCCCGGAATAAGAGTCCGACTGGACGAGCTGGGAACGTGCCTGGGACAGCCATCCGGCCTGCAATGGTGGTGCAGCTCTCCCAAGCTCGAGTGGTTTTGTTGGACATGCTGGGACGCCCACCCGAGAGCTGAGCTCACGCTGACCAGGGTGTACCTAGCGGCAGAAGGCTCGAAGACGAGGATCTAGCACAAGAGCACGCGCTTCCGCGAGGGCACTTAGGGGGCTGGAAGTGGGTCTGCTCCGCGAGGAAAGTTCCCGCCTGGCCGAAGGTGTGAGCACCGGAATCACCAGATCTATGCAGCTCATGTGAGGCGTGCCAGCTGGGTGCGGGTGCCACCGCTGACCCCACCATCCATTTCCTTGGAAGGCATCCGTGCGATGATGCATGCTGGGTCGCAAATATCACAAATGGCACTTCAAGTATTTCTGCATCCCAGGCACTCCTCTGGAGATAGGCTGGGTTCACGCGCAGCTGGAGCATTGGCAATGTACTTATCTAGCCTCTGTTTGCTGTGACACTTGCAGGGTATTGCAGGGTCAATGGCTCGTGAGAGCTGAACCTAATTACCAAGACTGCCATGTTTCTACAGGGTAGGCCAAAGCTTATCTTAACCGGGGACACGATCCTGACCGTATTGACATGAACCATGGCAATTATTCCTACAGAGCCAGAAGGCATTCCCCATGCACGGCTGCTAGTTGCCGCTTGTAGTTGTGCGGCGTTATCGCCTTGGTTGGTGGAACAACTCGAGGCGCACAAACGCACACACGCATGAAAGCTGCGCATGTTGCACCAATGCCGCACCTCTGAATTCGGCCAGCCGAAGTTGGCAGTGTAGTCTGGCGGGCCGGGCAGTAGGGATACACAAACTTTAAGAGGTCTTGAAGTTCATTTCTTTCACACCGGCGCTTGCTCAAAATTCCTCTTAGCGGCAAGCGGCCGGAATGTTGCGCACTTTCTCGCAAAAGAGTTTCCTACTGCCGGACCCTTCAAGCCTTTCCTTCAGTCTCTGTTCCAGTATACGAAGCAAACTCAGATATGCGAAGAGCACTAGAAAAAAGCTTGGGGAGTGGCCCTGCCCTGCCTAAGCCACAAGGATCGCCCCGAGCGGCGGCCACCTGGACACACCATGCAGAACGGAGCCAACAACAAAAGGAAGGCTGAAGCTCGAGCTTCTGTTGTGAGTGCCAGTTACGCATGCCTCCAAGCTCCCTTCCACGCTGCACTCGCTTGCAATTGCAGAAGCACCGACCCCACTTCTGCTTTTAATGCTGTCGCCTTCACCACTGCAGTGTTCTCAGAAGCTTTCGTGATGTCAAGACTAGCGCCCGCAGGAAGAGCCCCAAACCCGTCTGCCATGTCGCTCGTCTGAAAGACCTGACCTGGTTTTGGACGTGGGATGCCCATCCAGGCGGACCAACTGAACCGAATTCACGTTGTTCATGCGATTCGGTGGCCTTCAGGCGCTTCTGGCCACAGTGCTTGCAGTGGAGAATGTCAATGGGGCATGGTCGGCTGCAGGTCGTGCATGCAACCTTAGCGGCCGCACAAGCACAGCCCGTAGTTCGTCGTGCAGATCCTGTTCTTGCCTTCAACAACCTACCAGATTGCATTCTACGATCATGTAAGCACGACAAGACTGGTTAGCTTCATACAAATAAGCCCTGAAAGGTAGCGCTTATCAGGCCAAATTAATCCTTATCATGCTGACCTCCTGAGAAAGCTGAAAAAGGCAAGCCAATTCAGAACCTAATCTTTGTTGGACTTCGATTGGTGTTGTGCCAGTAGGGCCGCTGCCATGCCAGACCTCGCAGGTGCGACTTGAAGGCTGAGCTACCGTTTACGGGGAATCAGACCTTATGCGCACGGTCGCCTGCGCGTCTGCGCAATGATCACATCATGAGCAACATGCGTGCAGTCGCAGAATGCAGTTTGACAGCATGTCGGTGGAAACCAAACCTATGTAACTTATTTCATTCCCGGAATGCTGCGCATCCCATCTTGATTTGCCCTCTCGAGTCAAAATAAAGCACACCGGCAAGAGCAACACTTCAACCAAATGCCACCTCGGGCGTGGTGGACGGCTCCAGAGCCTCCAAGCTTGCTTTGAAATGGCTTTCACCCATGTGCTCCAGTTTCTGCTTCAATCTCTCTCTCTCTCTCTCTGCACTGGCTTCCATCCTCATGTAGCAGCTCCGACTTCTTGCCAATACACAGCTGACATAGTGCAGAGTCGGGAATGCTTCTGATCTTCCCCGGTGTGCGTGGCCATTGTCTTTCGTGGACTTCCCCCCAACATCCCGGGGCTCCGGCCCGCGCGGCTCCGTGTGCCGTCGTGGCGCTGGAGGCTCGTCGTCAAGATACCTCTGGAGTGAGCAGAGTGCAGAGTGCAGAGCCCTCTTCGTCTTTTCTGCCCGCAGCCTGGCCTGGCGGCCTTGAGCTTGGCCAGGAGCGCTGCGCCCGCGCCACTGGCAGTCGGAGCCTGCACGGACACGGCAACCCGTGACCCAACCTTTGCAGAGTCTCTGCCAACTTGCATGTTGGCCTCCAACTTGCGCTGTGGCGTAACCGGCGCCGACATGGGCCGCCTCCTATACAGAAGCGGAAGGATCACAGCCCTGGCCCTGCAAGGAACCCACTTTGCCGGAGTTTGCCGACCTCGGCGTGTCATTGCCCGAGCCGAAAGAGTCTCGGCTCGTGACCGCCTGCAAGCGGGAGCTTTGCAAGGGCCCACTCTGGGAAGATTTCCTCAGCTCTGGCCTCGAACTGCGACTTGCGCTGCTCAAGGAGCTCGGCGTCACGTTGCCGTAGCCAGGCGACCTCTGAGAGCTGGCGCTTTGTGCTCCTTTAGCTCCCCGGACCAAAGTCGCTGAAAGCTGAGTCTCTCACCTGGCGATCGTAGACAGTCCTCGATAAAACGCCACCAACCTGTCCCAGACTTTTTCGGGAGTTCTCCTGTGAGAGCTGAGGTGTGTTTGTGTGTTTGTGTGTGCCCGTCTCTATTTGTGTGGGCCTGATGTTGAGAGCCATAGTATGCCCTGAGGTGCTCCTGTCCACTGCTTGTGTCACACTTGCAAGATAAGACACGCCCTGAGAATATCTCAGAGCCAAAGGTGCGAACTTCCCCCAAGACATGTTTAAGGAGATCCGACTATTCCTGCATACAGCTACACGCCCCGTCGGCAGCCTTGCCTTGAGAGAGCCTGTCTCGCATCTCGGGGGACGATCGCTCTTCCGGGCCTGGCGGGATTGGGAGAGAAATGCGGGTGGCGGGTGGGTATTCCGGGCCTCCGAGGGCAAATACTACCGGTCAGGCCTCTGCATTACGCGCTCTCCGAGGACCGGTTGCAGAAAGTGCACACTGGGGGTGAAAGGTTTGCTGTGGTCCAACGCTCTCCTCAAAGCTTAGGCACTGTGTCAGATTCGGTGAAGCTTCTTACGCATTTCCTGGAAAAGCCACCTAGAACGTGTTGTGGAAGGAACAAGCGCCTTGCATAGCTTCAACACTCAAACATGCAAGTACGACTTCTGCCTCTTCCTGCAAGGTGCGGAAGATGTGCTCCTGAAAGTGCCGAACTTCGGTGTGAACTTGTAAAAACATGCACTGGCCTTGCGAAGCTCGTCTTGCTCCTCTTGCTTTGCCTGGAGCAGCATGGGGGAGTCACACGCTGTCCCCCAAGATGGAATGCAACTTCAAACATACCAATCTGATGGAAGCGGGCCTCTTGTTCTAGTTTGCCGCTACAGTCTTTGTCTGCAGCGATTGTAGCAGTGTAAGACCACTGTTAGTCAGCTACAAACCCTACCAAGACCAATTGAGACAAAGTGACCTCTGCAACAGGATGCAGCATCCGCGTCCAAACAGATCCCCCCTGGCCTGCCCTTTCCCTGCAAGATGTCCAAACTCTGGGCCGCCTCGAACCACGCCTGCTGCTTCTGGTAGAACTCTTTCGCCCGCTCCGGAGTGACCTGACCTGTAGCTGCTTTTCCAATGTGATACACGTTTACTTTGCCAACCTGGTCCCGACGCTGCCAGCAATTCTTCAATACTGGCGACGATTGAAGCCGGAATCGCTTACGACACAGAGTTCTGATCATAGAATCTCTGCCCGAACGGAGGATCCCTGGACCACCGCCTTCCGGGTTTGGCCGCTCATCCCAAGCCAATGAAGCCACCACGGCTCGCAGGGGCTTCCTGCAGTGGCGATGGGGTTCATTGGCCTCCTCCGAAATCCAGAGATCAGCACGAGCTCGCCTCTTTGGCGATGGGGATGCCGTGGCGGAGCTGGGCCTCTGCCGGAAGGCTCCAGGTTCGAAAGCTGGGGTCGGGCTGCAAAAGGCAATTAGGGGATTTTCTGGTGCTCAATGAAGCCCTAGGCAGTGGCAGGTCCTGCCAACATTTTGGAAATGCATGTCCACTTGTGGACGCAGTTGCGACCAAGAGTCGCGGGTGCGTTGCATGCAATGCCAAACAGCATGGCTGGAAAAACAAACCCAAAAGCCATGAGCATGGCAACAGATTTCGACTGCGCCGTGGCACGCGGCCAGCAGGTTGCAAGAAAGCTTACGCGGGTCACAGGAGTGTTGGGAGGCTAACTCCGAACTGTGAAGGACCCCCGCCCCGCCACACCTCGAATCCGGAGACCAGGTGCTCAGCTTTGGCGTAAACGGGCACTGCAAGAGTTCCGACTCGAGCTGAGCCTGGGCATTTCTGACTTGCTCGACTTGCCTTCTCTGTGGCACATCTTCGCAAGGCCTCCTCGTGCCGCCTCTTCTCCAAAGCACGCCTCGCATTCACGAGGCACTCTCTTTTTTCCGGAACCGGCCTCATGGAACTATATCCATCGGAGGCCTGGCGATCGACCGCATCCCACGCTCGAACAAACCTGGAGGAGACACAAGGCAGAACAGGAATTGGAAAAGCTTTCGGTTTAGGACGTAGGATCTAAGCCCTGCTATGATGCAGCAGGTAACCGTAAAGTGGACTATGTGGACTCTGTTGATTCAATCCAAAGCGTCCCCTCCAAAACAGGTCGGCTAACTACATGGTTAACTACATGACTTGCAGGGGGCAACTTGAAGGCTCAGGCATGGGAACAGCTTCAAGCCCAGAAAAAATCATGGCGGTTCGGGCCTCCGCCACCCTCTGGCCCAGCCAGCCACCGAGGAGAGCGTACAGGCCGGTACAGGTTCGGGGAGAAGGAGCCTCTCGAACAAAACGAAGCATGAGCCATCATGAGCCGACCCCCCCTTGCGAGTGAGCTGCAAATCACGTGAGAAGGCTCGGCGTGTCTAGGCCCGGGCTAACTTGGGTACCTCTGCACAAGCAAGCAATGTAGCCGAGGGTTCAGGCCTATTTCGGCTTGGCACTTCTCCCTCAAAGCTTGTAGCTTCTCCTCGCCTTGCAGCAGCTTGCATCAATTCTTGCACGAAGCCGCCATCCACCGGGCCCCGGAATCTCCCCTTTGAAAACGCCCACCTCTGTTAGTGTTAGTATCTCTACAGCGGCATTGGATCTCTGATTTTTGTTAGAGAACTCTCGTTGCAGGCAAGAGTCGTTGCTTCTGCCATGCTTCCGAGCGCTCCAGCATCGAGGGCGGTCTCCCGTGCAGGCCTGCATGCATTCTGCACCGGGCTACGCCAAGTACTTCTCAAACGACGTGTAGCTCACAGTGGCAGCTGAAGCAGTGCTAACTGCTGCAACGAAACGTGCGCAGGTGTTGCAAAGCTGTTTTACTCACGCTACTCATCTGCTAAGCAACGAGATGACATTCCTGTGCCTAAAACAGTCACTGCACGAGGAGAGCTTCGTCGAGAGAGCACAGGCGAGCGGATGGGTGAGCGGGTCGGCGACCGCGTTCTGGCAGTCCTTGTTTCCACACAGATGAAGCAGTGCAACTGATGAAAGAGGAGAGGAGTTCAGGGAGTGAAGTTGGCTGGTACCCATCGGTAAAAGCAGCCTTGAATGTTGAGGACGATTTCCAGACAAGCATGCATATGAGGTAACGCAGTCAGCTGGCAGACTCTGAACAAGGCAATCATTGGGTTCTGTCAAGTCTGGCAACGCAGTGTTCAGTCTGTCGCCCTTGCTAGTGCCCTCAACCTTTCTTGATGTCAAGTATCTCCGTCTGCTGGGCTGCTTTGCTGTCGACCGTCGCTGCAGCAATGCGTACGCTGCGATGGTCCCGAATCGAGCGCTGCGGAGCCTCGCGGCAGTGGCCGTTGGAGACATGCATTAAGCCTAAGAAGTGCTTCAACAGCGTGTTGAGGCAGGAGCCAGACACACAGGGGACTCCCAGTGATGTGGGCCGGCCTCTTCCTCCCTTGCACCGGGAGTCTGTGGAGCCTGGCGACGGGACAGCGCCTAAGACACTCTCTTCCTGGCCTTGCAGATGTAGAGAGCATCTGCATTCCCGACCTGGGGGGCTTTGCTCCGCCGTCGCCCAGTAGGAGGCCGTCGCAGCGGCGACGGTGGACGGGGTTCCGGTGTCGGCCTCCAGCCGCACCAACAACAGCGAGGACGACTACTACCACTATATCTGCGGCTGCTGCCACCGCCACTGCTGCTGCTGCTCTACGATGACGACCACCACCAGCACCAGTACCAGTGCCAGCACCACGAGCACCACGACGACGACGACGAGTGCGAGTACGAGTGGTAGCAGGCAGCAGCCGTGCAGTTCATCGCCAAGGCGCGGCTTGGCCGGACTCGGCACCAGGGGTGGTGCCAAAGAGGAGGCCCTGGCCCAGCTTCGGTCTTCGATTGAAAGTAGTAGGGTCTACAGAAAATATCACTGTTTATAACAACTCGGAATACCCCTTGAGCCTTGACACATGGGCCGGCCTTGTGCGGCTATGCCTTCTGGGCGTCTTTCGCGGCGTTGACACCTAGAAGGCTCAACGTCTGAATGCAACTTCCCGCTACTGCAACAGATGTTGCCATGATCCCAGGGTAGCATCAGGATAGGTACTGCACACTGGTTGTAGTGGCATAGGTGGATGTACAGCCGTCATGAACCCAGCTACTGGCTTCCCCTGCATCCATGGCCAGAAAACCTTCGCGGAATGCTGGCTAAGAAGTTGCTGGTGCTGCGTCGTTCTGTTTGCCCTGCAGCCTTGCTAGCTGATTCTGCGACGCGTCTTTGTTAGGCTTCAGGAAAGCCAACGCCCAAGCCGAAACCCCAAGCTATCGAAGCGAATGCAGGCCTCGGTCTGGAGCTTGAGCTCGGAGTTTCGGAGGCCGAGCTCCACCGTAAAGACAGGCACATCCCCTAGGCAGGGCTTCCCGCCGTCGGCAATCCGCATGACCCGTTGGGTTTCCGACTCTGTGGTTCCCCGGCTAACCCACTCGCTCCAGCTACAGGTGATGCACTTGCAACGTGGCTGGCTGGAGCTCACAGTAGCTGGCTTAGTAGCTGTGTGACAGAGTTTATCCACATTTATCCACTTGCTTGCTTCGGCGCCAATGTCGAATTCAGCCGTGGGGCGTCCATCACTTCGTGGCATCGCTCTTTCTCATGGCTACGCTGTCAGCCGGAAATTGACGGAGGAGTGAGTTGTGGCTGGCTTCTACACAATCATGCGAGGCGCGAAGTAAGAATGCTAGACTTGGATGGTGCCCAGTATGCAGCGCAGGCTCTCAACCGTTTTCACTGTCTTGCTCGAAAGAGGACGGATGCTTGCAGAATCTTTCATTGTTTCAGGTGTCTCACGTGCTGCAACTACTTCCCAGCAGGACACGCAGGACACACATGACACGATGTCAGATTGCGTGGTCCGCCGCTTATGTAGACGAGGTGAAACAAACCCTCTCCCCCCAGGCATGTTTCGGGAAGTGGGTTTCATGGTCAGGGATGCTTCTTTGAACTAAGATGTTGACGCTATTCTTGCCCAGGTCCCATCCTGCCCAGGAGCAACTCCCAGCTTCACGCTGCTTTGGCGTCCGCGGGCGTGTCGCCTCCCAGCAATGGCAGGAATTAGGATTGAAACGATCGGGGCTATTGGTTCGCATGACAGTATGCGGCTGTTTGATTTCAGTTCCTCTGAAACTCCAGACTCCTGACTGTAGAAGCTGCAGCTCCACAGACTTTCTCCGAATTTACGCAAGGCACCACCACGATTCGACTCTTTCACAAGACAGATGGGAGCCTTGACAAAAACATCTCGGGTTAAAGAATCCGTTTAGGATGTGCATGAGGCTTGTCAGTCAGTTGATACTGATACCTTGCCTACTAGTATTTGGGGGTGTGGCATAACCCAGACCCCGGCCCTAGGATCAAATCTATCTTCAGATCCCAGCCCCAATACTAGATTACTAGATAGTCCACCCCAAGAACCCAACCTAAGTTACCAACCTGGGAATAATGCTTACTTCTATTCAAAGGTGTTGCATCGCTTCTTAGAATTACTTACGGCAGTTCTTGACTAACTCACGAGATAACGAAGGTGTTGATACGACGTACTGGGTGGGGGTCAAGAAAGCCTATCCCAGGAGAGAGATTAGATAAAGTGGAGGAGGATGTTGAAAGGATGGACAAAGAATAGCTTGCATATGATGGAACTTTTGTGAATAAAAGTTTCGATAGTAACTTGACAGTGTATAGTTCCCCTGCCCAGACACTTGTTAGAGAACTGCGAGACTTCGCGACATCTAAGAGAAAACCAGGTCCCATTGCACCTGTGTGAGGAACAGATTCATAAGCACGCCGTAAGGGCGCGGAATTCGCATTTAGTTTCGGTAAATCTTAGGGAATGCAAAAACCTTTCCACAATCTCGCAGTATGAACAAAAGTATAATATATTGATATAATGCCAATAGCAGTAAATATGATATTAGTTGATTTTGACGCATACAGTGAACCCGATACTAGCAACACGCGGAAGTGTTATCGGTGTAAACAAGTCAAAGATATCAACTGCTTCACACGAACATACTGTGTCAGCAAACCCTCTTACAATTATGTTAACTACGCCTTGACTTGTTCTGAATGCTCAGCTAAGTCTGTCAAATAATCGGGGTTCAGTAAAATCTTAAGAGTATACTTCTTCTGAGGAAAACTACTTCACGAAATAACACCTACATATTTTAGCAGCGATAATGGATTCTACAAACTTGAGCACATACACAATTCCAGCCAAATACATGATTAAATTATACACGCTGAAGAGAGACAACACACACTACACTTTAAAAATGCCGAGTTGCGAAAGCTTAAAACCGATGTACTTCAATACTTTTGATGCGGAAGATTTTGACAACATTAGGCAAGACATTCAAACGCAAGAAAACAAAGTTAGAGAAGATCAGGAACGAATAAAACAGTACCCAAATATGATTGAACACATTGAAATTCTTTGTCACTCAGACGGCGATAATGATACTAAGCATTTAGAAGCAAACCTGGAAACGCAAAATACTGGGACAACCTAAGCATTGAGGAGATTGAAGCAAACTATGATCATCTCATCAATGTTCCCAACAAAGTAATACCATAAAGTAATCATAATACCAGAGTAGTTATATGTTAGAACTATATTCGAGTTATAGCACGAGAGGAGAATCCAAGAAGATAAAGCGAATCCTTTACCATTAACCCTAAACCCTGAACCAAATTCTACAAGACCCGCCTTGCCTAGTTAGGCGCATGGCAGCTAGATAGATGTCAGTGTTATTCATTGGATGGTAACTTAGGTCGGGATCATCCTATCGGTGCTGAGATTTTAAGATAGGTGAGGTCTTACGATTGACTTCTATCCTAGGGTGGGGGCTGGGTGGTGCCATACACCTCAACAGGCAAGGTATCATCTAACTATTTCTGGGGGTCCCTCCTACAAGCAAAAGATCCGAGTGCGAGTCAGACAGACGAGGTGGCAAGAGAGTGTGGGGGAAAGAACCTTGTCCTGCCAAGCATCGAGGCTGAAGAGTTGTTCCTCACACCCCGCCTTTGGGCGCATTCGCGGCTCCCTGTTTCAGCGCTTGTGTCAGCTTCCGTTTCTTTGAGGCGCCTCAGAACTCGAGTTTGATGCTCGCAGGAGAGTCGCGAGAACGAGCGGCTTATTCCTGCGGACATGTTGACGCTCGGATCGCTCGGTTCCCTGCCGTGATGGATGGTATGGATCTGATTGAAGTCCTGCTTGCCTGAACAGGGAACTAACGTAATGGGCACGGTGGCATTTTTGCCTGTTCACTTGCTGGAGAGGCCTGGCCTAAGTGGAACTTGCCTATCCTCTTGCCCATTTCGGTCGTCTTCACATTCTTGACCTCTCGTAGCTGAGATCAAAGCACGCAAGACGGTGAAGGTGATGTCAGTGCTAGAGGAGAGCTTCCCCTTCCATGCCCCAATAAGCTTTCCGTCACATTGCAGCCTATTCCTGTTCAAGGATGGCCTTCTTGGGCTTTGCGGCTTTGGGGACCTTGATGGCCTGCTTCCACCGATCTTTGTCCGGCTCCCTGGCACGCAAGACAGAATGCACCGCATGCACCGCGTGGTGCGCAGCCATAGCATCGGATCCGTACCAACGGAGCCTCGTTCGGTCGAGGGTGAGCTGGAAGGAAGGGCCGAGCTCCTTCATCTCAATTCGAGGCAGCCTGAAAGCAGGATGAATTTCCAGGGCCTACTCCGGCTGCTGCGTGACCCTCGAAGCTGGGGTCTCGGAGTGTTGATGGACCGCGAGCGCCTGCCACCAGACTTCTGCATGAGGAGCCTGTATCTTCTGAACAAGACCTGTGCACATGAGCATGCTGGCACAGGCACCCGTCGCACTTCTACTTAATGCGTTTGCGGCATGTCAGCTTCGTGTGTATCGAACTGATGGCGCCACTTAACACAAGTGCCGAACCTTGGCCTTGTTGCTAGGCTGGCCTGGCAGGCCGTCAAGGACACTCCATGCGAGAGACTCTCGCCACGCGAGCATGCTGCAGACGCGCTTCGTCCATGGATCCGCGCTCCGCAGTATCGCATGCGACTGCCATGTTTTGACCAGAGCAGTCATGCCCACATCGTGAACATTTCCGTGTCATGGCAATAATCATTGTCAACGATGCCGTTACAAAGCAGTGTCACTTCGGCTTATTTTCTGGACAGGCTTTTGCTAAGCAAGCATTGCAGAATGCACTTCTACCGACCACACTCCTCGGACAACAGCATTCGTTGATGGTGAATTCTAAGATCCCGTTGAACCTCAACGTGGCCCTGGAATCCTGCAGACATGTACAGTGCGACACAACCACTGGGTGACTGGGTGTCGCACACTATGAGGCTGGGGAGGCTTTGAGACCATATCATGCTCAGCAAGCAAACAGGACTGGTTGTTGGCAGGTTCGCAGAGTGAATCTTCCTTCTACTTCGGTGCTTTCTGATGCCTCCCCCTTCCCCAGTGCCGAGTGTGACATCGCTACTCTCAGCTCAGACCAGTCTGCGTAGGCGTCACTGCCTGCCATTGGCACGTTCGCGTGTCGGCTTCGGGCACTCAGCTTCAGGGTCCAATGTGCAGGGGCTCATGCAGACTTCATAGGACCGCAGTGCTCGAAGCAAGCTGATCGGGTAAACTTCGTGTGGCTCGTTGCCTGCGGCTGCTCACTGGGCACAGCTGTGTAGTCGCCCTGGTTGCTCGAGCGAGGCTTCACCTGAGGTTTGGGGCTTGTGTTGTGCAGTCTTGATGTGGTGGGCATCTTCTGATCGTAGTACTAGTAAGGCCACGGAAAATTCCGAACACAACTCTCTTTCTCAGGATCCAAGGGCAAAGGAACTCGTAGTAACTTCCTGTTTCTTCAGCTTCGACACTCGTCGCCAACCCTCTGCTCAAGCAAACGCAGCGCTTGCAGGGCAACCCGAGTTCCAAAACAACCCCAGCCGCAGTGCTTCTGCTCTGGAGAAGTGCTGCCGGACGAGTTTCGCAGGTGCTGACGCCACAGAAATTGAAAAAACAGGCAGCGCCGAAGGCTTGAAGCGAGGCGCTTTGCGCGGCTGCTCGTTGTCCAAAGCGTCCTGGAGCTCCTCGGCTAGCAACGTTTGAAACGAAAGTCTTGCTCACACCCACTGTGCAAGCAAAGCGCATAGTAATGCGATCTGCAGTCAAATGGCTCTTATCAAGTTCTTGAACATAGTGATGTCGTCAAGATGATCGCCCCAAGCATTGTTGTAGAACTCGGCCACAATTCCTTCTGGCAGCCAGCTTCAGGCATGGGGAGTTACAAATAGTGGCAATACCAGCCATCGTCGGGGGCATCCCAGTGTGCAACAGCCTGCACTAGCCTTTTACGAGCTGGACGTCAAGTACGCTCGCAATGGGCCTTCCTAATCCAGTGCTGCAGCGTATCGCACCCAAGCACAGCCTCCGACTGTGCCGCACCGTCTCAGGCTCTTCCGGACGGGGTAACTGCTGCTGAGCAACGCTTCTGAGTGGAGAGGCTTCGCTCCACGACCTGTGGGTTCTGGATGCGTCAACGCACACACAGAGATGTGTCCCCCACACACACACACACACACGCACGCACAGACAGGTCCAAGCAAGAGCCACTCGTTTCCCAAATGTCTGTCCGCGGTCTGCATCAATCAATTTGCACGAAGGAGAAGAAGCTACGTAGGTCTTGCAACTTTTGCAACTTTCCGTGTTGGAAGGCCTCATTACAACGCATTCCGCTTTCATGTGCGTGTGTGTGTGCGCTTTGAAACAGACAAGTGTCCGCCTTGCGTCTGCGTTCAACAATCGAATTCAACTTTAATGCCAAATGAAGAGGTCCGACCTGAAGCATCGATATGTCCGAGTCTTCGTCGGCCAAATCGTTCGCCTGCAGGTCTGTCCAATCTGGTTGGGCCAGTCTTTTTCGAGGCTTGGAGGCTGGAGTTCAGGAAATTCGCATCCATGTGCTTGAGCCAATTTGGTCACCGGCTGAAAGATATTTCTGAGCTGCGCAGTCTTGCACGGCGGGACCTCCCTGCAGAAATCTTGGCTCTTGGCCCTGAAAGATACGATTTAATGGCTCGGCTTCTGCAACATATTTGCACCAAATCAACGAAGATACTTGTTGTCCTTTTTGTTCGCCTATGTACACAGTCTCTGAAAATGCAACTGTCTTCTTTTGTTTCTCTTTTTGTGGACAGACACTCCCCCGCATCACTCAAAACCTTATTCTAATCCCTAAAGCCCCTACACTACCTGCCACAGCGGTCTGGCGAAGTTTCAAGAGGGAACACAAATTCAGCGAAGTTCAAGAGTCAACCAGCTTCGGAGCCATCTTTAATCCATCTAAATCTCTATTCTTCTAGAAGGATCCCAATATTTAACGCAGGCTGAGGGGTGTGAGAAACGAGCATAATACTTCCATTGACTGAAGTCATAAAGTGTACGGTAACGGAAAGAAGTATGTATGCTCTCTTCTCTCGCTCTCTCTTTGATTGCTCGCCGCATGTTTGAGACCCGGGCATTCAAAGTGTCGATCTGATGCTTGAAGTCAGAGAGTTCATGGAGCTCCTCGCCTAAGGCAAAAAGCAAAAGGGCTGAAATATATGCGTCTTAACAATCAGACTAGGGTTGTAGTGGGTTTATACAGCTTCATATAAGGGCCTTGATCATTCAGGATCTCAAGTTCAGCAGTGCTGCCGGGCAGCTGACTTGCAGCACAGCATCCAGTCTGTCAATATTCCAAAGAACTACGACGAGCGAAGCTGCGTAGCAAATCATCCTTGGCGGACAACACAGGGACAACACAGGAGTTTCAGATCATGGATGGGGGACCAAGGCCCATAATATAGAACCCTACACAAGAAGATCCTCTGAGGACCCTTAAACCAAGTATGCAAAACTAGGTGAGAAATCACATTCGTCGTATCCAGACACGAGATGACACGAGCGCGCAGCTTTCTTACCAGCCCTTCGCTGAATGGCCAAAGCTCCGGAATTCTCCGGCTGCTGCCCTCCGTGCCGCCATTCTTGTCAGTGCTGCTATCACAGTCATAAGCTTTAGCTGTGGCTGTTGCTATGCTTTCGGAGCATCAGAGCTCAAAGGGCCCATGATCCGCACTCTGAACATCTCTGGACCCATGAAGGATTCGGGTCGGGCCGAGGCTCCCGAGCATTACCGCGACCACTCTCACCAGCCTCGGCAAAGCAAAAAAAAGCGCCGTGTTTTTTTTGTTGTCGTTCTCTGCATCTGTCAGGCGTTTCTTGTGCCAAGTCTCTCCATCCCGCAAGATAGCATATTCATTGCGGCACAGTGCTGGCCATTTCCTGGTCGTGACAAGAGTTCTTCTCCAGTCCAGCTGAAGGTACTGTTTTGACTTTGGAGTGCTGTCGACTTCAAGCCAAGCTGCGCATGAGATGGAGCACTATGCCTGGCATGATGTCTGCCATGGCAACGGCATCCATACAACAAGAGCAAACGTTGCTTGTCCAGGCGAGCTAGAAGTGGGCGAGCAAATGTCTTGTTTCGTCACATGCCTTCTTGCAGGCTTCAAGCCCTCCCACGCCAGCCTGCTAAGTGAAAGTGGAAAATGAAAAGGAGTACCTGAGACCGCACGAAGATTTATCAATTTCTTGGCCAGTGAAACAGCTAGCCAACCGCAGTTGTACCCCTGTCTTGGTAACTGAAGCTGCTTGCTCGTCAACTTGCGAGGCATCTCCCGCCCCTTCGCTTGCCGAGTTGCACTGAAGAAGATGCCCACGAGGAGGCTCCTGTACAATGGTGAGTCCCTCCTTAGCAGCATCCGGCAGAGCATGATCGTCCCAGATCCAGGAGTTGGGACAGGGAGAACCCATGCAGTTGGATCAGACTTCATGCTGGCAGCTGCAGTCTGCCGAAAGTGTTGTCACCCCAGGATGCAGGAATCTGAGTGGCAATGAATGGCGGAACCAGTAACCCAACATTGCCGGCAGGAAGCAGGTGCACGTACACCTCGTCAAGCAGTGTCGATCTTAAACAGTGGCTCATCAGGAAAAGTCCAACTAATCGCAGCTCTCACAGACCGAGCACCCTTTTGCAAGACCTGTTGCTTGCCTTCTCATGGCTTCCGATCCTGCTCATGGCCAGGCCGCCAACCATTACCATCCATGGTTTTGGAGTTTCCTATCCGACATCCGACATCGTGCTCTCGCCGCGGTGCCGTGCTCCGTCACTTGTTTTGGTTGGTTCTTGGAAGGCGGCTTGTCCTTCTTAGCCTCATCTCAATTTCGCTATGGTGCCGTGCACAGTTTAGGTGTAAGGCCTGCTACCGCCGCGGTTTTTGCACACGTCTTCATCTTGCTGCAGTCTTGGTAGTGGTCCGGGATCGGTCCGTATAACATGTTTGATGTGGCTCTCTATGTTCAGCGATTTTTCATGGTTTGTCGCAGATATGTAGATGCTGACAAAAGTTGCACATCATTACACATTATGCAGCGTTAGAAAAGGGCTACATGGAGGTTCATGGGTAGTTATAATTACTATAACTATAACCCACATTAGGGGACTTATAACCCTACTTATAACTACCCATGAACCTCCAAGTACTGAAGCAGCCGCGGAGCTCCCTTGACTCGGCCGATGGGGGAGGCCGGGTTGACTCCGCCAGGCGGCACGCCGCGCAGCAACTGTCAACGAACGGCTGCAACTTTGTCCAACGGAACTTAAGTTGGAGCACGGCAAACGCAAACACCTCCTGTTCTCCATGCATGGCTAGCTGCGTCCTCATGTTTAGGGAATGTAGAAACTTGGCACTACCCCGCTTGCATGGAGCCCGGGCCTCCGCGCGCGGATCTCGTTTGCTCTGGAGCGGCTCCTTGGATTCTGAACGCTACGGAGAGCACTTGGGAGTCTCAAGACAAAGCCTTGCGCAATCAGGCTGCGATCTTCTCAAACCACTTGAGGACCAACTGCACGGGTTTAAGAACGACTGCCTGCAGGGCTGGTCTTGCGATGTGGCCGAATGGAGCCTCTGAAGCTGAAGCCCTCGGCCTCCGGATTGTTTTTGTACTCGTCCATCGTCGGCTCACGCAGTTCAGTGACGAGATCATCGTAAGAGGGCACCGAAAAATTTCGGTCCAGGCCTGGTCCCCCGAGGGTCTCAATCTCAAAGATCGCTGAAAGCTGCAGGCAAGTAGAAGGATTGAACACAGCAAAGAATCCCGTAGAATCGCTTAGACGCCGGCTCGTCGTGCGAGTGACTTCGGAGTTGGACTTGCGGCTCTTCCGCTCGTAGCAGCAAGTGCAGCAACGCCCGGCGCCCTTCGAAGCCAGCGGCTTTCGGGGAGGGCTCGGGCTCTTCTGATTCTTGCAACGTGCTGGGCTACGTCTTGAAGCTCTGCTTTAGTCGCTTTGCTTAAATGATCAGCTTCCAAAAATGCCATACTCTGCATCCCTTCGTTCACGCGCACCGTGACAGCGGACCTGAACCAGCTGCACACCCGAGAGGAGGAGTGCCATCTCCGGGTCGTCGTGGTCGTGAGCAGTTTCAGTTCGAGGCAAGTCGATCCTGTCGATAAAACTTGTTGTGGGCTGGAACTCAGTCTCAGTCAGAACTACCTGCTACTCCAGACAAGACTGGACTAGACTAAAATGAACCGTCAACGAAGCCCTCAAGCAGCTTCTGGTTCGCGGACCCATCCTGCCGCCCCGCCGGCTATGTACCGTCAGGAGCTGAACCATGCCTCGGGTGGCTTCTTGTAAGAGTCGCAGCAATACGTTCAGCAATAACAGCGCTCTCAGTGTGACGCTCAGTATAGCAAGTCATGTAGCATGGACAAACTTGCAGCAGCCACTTCAGTAGCTAGTCGCAGAGCTCGGAATGTACCTTGCGACCAGCCCAAGGAGCTCGTGTGCTTTTGCTGTCTCAAGGTCTCTTCCAGGAAGAGCGCCTGCGGGAATCAGTTGCCTGCAAGTCCGAATCCTCGAGTTGCTACAGGACTTAGGCCCTAGGCCTTCCCGGAGAGAGAGACAAGCTTTTGGAAGTGGTCGATGGCAGGCTTCCGCAGATGATGCAAATGTATGGCCTTGCACTGCTGAGTGCATTTGCTGGCCGCATGCTTGTCGTTGCGATACTGAACTGCAGGAACAAATTCCAAACTTCCATGCAGGCTGCCATGAGTTCCACCAGCTTGGCGTATACAGCCTGGGCCTGCATCAAGGACACTCACCACAATCTAACGAGGGTAGCTGTGAAGGTCATGTGTACATTGGCATGGAACAGCGAATAATCATCGCAGGCTACCTCTGGGCTCGAGGACTTCTCACACTGTGCCAGAATCCGCTGCATTCGTCGCACGTGCTCACCCACCTTGCAGGCACGTTCGCGGCAAATTGACGGGACAATTCTTGGCAAGATGGGTTTGGAGCTGTCTCTGGATAGCCAGTGTTGCCTTCTCGTCGAGTTGAGCCGACACCATGCCACACAACTTCTGCGCCTGCCAGTGCAAGCTGTATTCCCCCATGGTTGAGCTGCATTTCGCGCTTCGCTGATAGTCATGCCCTTCCTGGTTCGTCGCTCGAGTCAGCACGTCTCCAACTTGCTTAGTCATCTCGTCCAGGTACCGCTCCTGCATGCAGGAGTGAGCAACAGCAAACCTGCTTTGGATGCCAATGACCTCCGCTCCGCGCCACGCACCCTGCCTTGCGGCGCTGCAGTCGATCGCCATCCTCGTCATAGTAGGCCAGAGCCACTGCCGAGTGGCGGAACATCATCAGCCTTCTGCCAGGAACATGACCAAGACTACAGTGGAAGGTAGAGTGCCTCTCCACACTTCTCATCGAACACCAACATAAGGTTATCACACCAAAGCAGTATATCAGGTTTTGCATGTCGGGCGAAGAATAGGAAACCCTGCAGACTTTCCCGGGTTTTCCACCTGAATTCCACGGGCTTCATCAACGAAGTGGATAGAAATGCTCGATCTTTTGGATGGTTTCGGAGCTCGATATTACGGACAACCCCCACTGCTCATTACTACTACTACTCCTCCTCCTCCTGCTGCTGCTGCTGTGGAAGCATGCAAGAAGAAGTAGTAGCGGAGGCAACACAAGGACAGATGTCCATGATGACTACTTTCACGCGTGCTCCCTGGAATTCTGGGTGCTCATCTTTGAATGTGATGGGCAGGACCTCAATGGGACCCCAGGACGAGGCATTGCACCTCTGGGCTGGCCCGGCCCTGCTGAGCCCGGCCTTCCTTCACCTGTCTTGAAGTGTGTCACAAGCGGCTTCTTAGGTTTTCGCATGTGAGCACCTTTGTGGTCAGTTCAGCATGCGACCGGAAGCCCAGAATGGCATATGCAATCATACGCACTACACACATTGTTGGTAAAGAGGGCAGCCGCGCATAGATTACCAAGCCAAGTAACAGCATGATGCCTCCAACTCCCTTGACCTCAGAAGCATGCAGAGATGTACATGCCCAAAACCGCCCTCCGAACACAATGAAATCTAAGCTCATAGTCGTAGGCTTCGTCCAAGCGGCGAGGCAGGAATACTTTCCCACGCCCTCCTCCGTCCAGGGCGTGTGCCTGAACGAACCCACCAAGTTCACCGAGGAATTTGACACATGTAGCAGCTCGGAAGAGTGTTTGGTGAATTGCTAATTCCAAGTGGCTGCAGGCAACGCAATTGGACGAAGTCTAAGAGCCACGTGATTCCAAACCTGAGAGGGCAGCGGAAAATCCCGAGCAGGGGGTCCAACAGCCGCACACCTGACCTGGTCCGCTCTGGTGACTGCGTACGTACGGGCATTCGCCATCTCCAGACCGTTTGGAACGAGACGGCATGCGTGCCCCCTTCTAGTGAGTCGAGGCAGCCGAGACACACTCCTGAAATCAAGCAGCCAGTGAAAAGCATTAGCCGCAGGCCCGTGATGTCCAAGAGGTGCTCCTTTCAAGATCTGCTTCATTATAGCTAGGATCGGCAATGTTCTATATTTGACCAGTTCGCTGGACGGCAAGGCAACCCTTAGCAGTCCATGTGCAGCGCTTCAAGCCATCTGAAGCCGGTGGGCCACACGGCTTCCAAAGGAAGGCGCATGGCGTTGTCAGGCGGGTGCCAAGTATCAATGCCGGAGTCAGTGCACAGTAGCGCACAATTGATGATGTATTCTATTGGGCCTGTTTTGAGCCTCAGCTCGCATGCCAAAGCCGCAATGCGCCCGAAGCCCAACATGGTCGAAAGTTTTACAGAAGTTGTCGCGCATATATAGTCAAACGTCAGACTTGCCGAAGCTTCTGATCTTTTGCAGATACGACCGCCTGGAGCTGAAAGCATCGCCGCAACCACTCGTGTCTTGGCGGTTATTCTTGATTGCTGAGGTGTGTGGCGCTTGGTTAGTGGACAGAGCCAAAAGCGCTGAAGCAGTAGTGCAGCAAACAGACTGCGCTTTCGTGAAACGAATTCCATCAGACAGGACATGGAGAACTATATTCCGACACGACACTACCGGTGCAGCTTACGGGGAGCTGGCAGCTGCACCATTTCTCATGCTACTCCACCTGAAGGCAGTGTAAGTCGCAGGAACAGCTTTTCAATCTCAGGTTCCTGAGTAAGGTACAGGGAGGAAAGCATCAAAGCGATCGAATGGAACAAGGCGAAGTATTGAAGGCAGGATTTGACGCCCTCAATCCGTGCAAAGCTTACCAGCTGGCGGGTCCAGGACGGTGAAGACCTTGGCTAGAGGCTTGTGGCCAGAGTCAGAGTGTTCACGATCTAGCTTGCGGTTCCGGATTCGAGTGGTATTTCAACAAAACGGAGTCTCACTACTCCAACTCTCCTGGAATTTACCTAGCATCCAAGAATTCAGCAGGATCTCACCATCGTCAAATCATCCCGGGCGGATGCGCGAAGCCATGACGATAGCTTGCTGGTTGCTTTTGTTGACTTCGGCAAGGGAACCTTTCAACGCTTTCCGGACCAGCACCCTCATCACGGTGCTAGGCCAAGCCAACACTTGTTTGTCTATGTTACTATGGCACAAGCTTCTACGGCACAAGCTTGGAAAATGGCAATCGCACTCTCCAAGCCCGGCAGCAAGACCTGCATCGGCCGACCCCCCAAGTGGTCCCAGGCAAGGGGCGTTGCACAACGAGTTGAGAAATACGGGATCGCAACATGCTATCATGCTCCTCCCGTGCGTCACAGGCCTTGTCCGGCCGTCCGCCGCCGAAGTAGTCCAGGAGCAAGCTCTTGGCCTGCAAGCTTCTGCACGCTGCTTTCGTGTGCCCGCTGCCACAAACGGTGACCGGACCGGGCCCTCTTGAGGTGCTCGTCATTCTCAAAGCCAGCGCCTTGGAATACCACGAGCCTGAAGCCAAGCAGGGCAGGAACGGCTCGTGCAAAGACTCGCAGTCACAGCCGGGGCAGCAGCGGCTTCACGCCGGTCATGGCCTGAGGAATCTCACATCACGCTGTGACGACACCCTCCTTGCGCGGGACGATGCTGGACTGAAGTCTGCAAGTCGAGTCACATCGGTGGCTCCGCTCCCGCGAAAAGTCCTGGGCTCCGCTCTATGCAAGGTCTAGGAGGCTAGCACGCTTACGGGAAAGTGAGCTTTCACGCGATTCTGTATCCAAAGGTTTGGAGCCCACATGTGATTGAACTTTGCAGCTGCACGGACAGCTCCCACACATTGTCTGGCTTCCACACCCCAAATCACAAGGGCTTCCAAGACCGGTGCGACATGGATTTGTAGTCCTCCACACCGAACTCCTGCAATGCTCCAGGGCGGAGGGCAAGCTGGAAGGCAGGAAGATGCTGGCTGGATCCTGCATATCGAGGAGGTGGCCGTCGAAGAGCCTCCCAAGGATTAGCCGCGCAGGCCTCCAATCGCATCGAGACGGAGAAGGGCAAAAAATCTCTCGGTGGAGTTTCCTTCGCGCCTCTTCTTGGAGGAGGATCCGAAGGCAAACAGGGAGTGGTCAAACTTCTTGCACAGTTGTTCGAGCTTGTGGCTGTCCTGTCCGCGACATCTCTGCAAAGACAATAGACTAGACCTGTGAGGGTAAGATCCTGCCCAATCCATGCGCATCTTTGCAGGAATCCAAGATGTATGGAGTCCCACAAGAAGGTCCTCGAAAGGATGCTCTTCATGTTTCCGCATGTAGAGCCTGGACTAACGAGCATCACAGAAAACAGGAAAAGGAATCCCGACCTGCTCTGTCACAGTACAAGTACCAGCCAACAGTTCGCAAAGTATGAGGGTACTCACGGAGGCAGAACAGGTAGACATCTCAACGACCCCATGACTCCGTGACCATCCCTGTGAGTGTGCGACCAACAGCTTACAGAATCTCGTTGGCAAGACCAAGACATGAATTGGCCGCTTTCAGCATACGGACATGTCTGCATCGGGACTGTTAGTCAACCCCGTGCTCATGTCTAGGTGGCGTTGCGCAGTCTGGTGTCACTGCACCAGCGTCCCTCTGTAGAACGTCGCCGCCCTCCCCCTCAAGGCTACAAACCAGAGCAAAGAGTGCAAAAGGCTTCTGAAGGCAAGCCTGTTACTTGGCCTGAGCTAATGTTTATGCTTGCTGCATCGAACCTGACAGAAATTGCAGCGACACTTGCCACACGACAGGGTGCCAGGCATGGACAGCGGTGATCGCAGCAGGTACAGCTCGCGAAGAAAGTTGGTCATATCGTTGGAGGTCCTGTCCATGCCCCAGCAGTCCAAATAGCAATGCCACTATGGCTGCTGTAAATCTCGCTCAAGGGACAAGCCGTCAGTGCGTTCCCAAGAGCAGTACGCAAGAATTCTCGGACATTTCGAGCTGCTGCCTTTCATTTCCCGTCTGTCGGCAGGCTTACATTCAGGGTTACCTGGACAATGCTCCGGCGTGGCTCAAGCATGCTTCACTTCTGTATCTGTTTGCTCCCTCTCTTATTGCAACGAAGCCGTCTTTGTGCCGCGGATGACCAAGGCTGTCTTGGCATCTTCCAAGACCTGCACAAGATTACGAAGGCTTGAGATGGGGCGACTTCTGGAAGGAGGAACAAATCAGAGCACTGCGAGGCATCCTACTTCTGAGGAGGTCCTGGTATAGAATCTTGGAGCATCTCATTCAGAATATCATGTCAACGGTGATTTTGTGTATAACTCATCAGCACTAGACGGGACGTATGATTGTCAACATTTCGACTTCTTCCACGGAGTTCAGAAGATAACCACCGCACGGCCCGAGCCGTGCTTATCCTTTTCGTGAGAGCCTCGTCAAGTTAGCGTCCACGACTTTACGACTTAGGGTCTACAGTCTACGGCAGGCAGCCTCGGGTTCAGCGTCGACGTCTTCTTGCTGTCAGCTGCTGCGCTTGTTCTTCTGGCTCCTTTTCGTTCCCGCAGGTGTCGTGTCATCAACTATCGCCGGTGTTTCCACCACCTTTAGGAGCAGGAAGTCCCAAGTAGCTCTGGGACTCTGAAGATGCTCCTGAGATTGGGCGCCTCTACAGGCAACAGATTTGGGATTGTCTAGGCCCAGGTAGGGCCGAGGCCTCAAATTACAGATGCAAGTCGGAGCGGTGACATCCGATCAAAGTCAACGTCGCGTTCTCCTTTGTTGGGCAATCTGACTTGCGCAGCTGCTTTTCAACATTCTCCACCTGCATTTCCGTTTGACATTGCAGCCCTTGGGAGGCTTGCACTCGTCAGCAAAAAAGAATGCGAACTTCCCAAGGGCTGCAATGTCATGGAAAGCAGAGTGCTGCACAAGTCAGATTGCCAAAGAATCCACCAGGCTGATGGGAAAGCCAAACAAAGGAGAACGCGAGTTGACTTTGATCGGTGGGAGTAGCGGGAACACTGTGGTCCGTACGGATACCAGGTTGCCAAGCTAGCCAAGGCCCTTACGGGAAAGGAGTGGCTTTTGCTAGACTACGTTTCTCAGTTCCCGCGACTCTTCCAGCAGCAGAACGCCAGCTTCGGGCGGTGCTGTACTGCCACGACAAGACGAGCACCCTCCGAATCGAGTTTCTCACGCCGGAAGCAGACATAGCAGAAGCCGAGAGCAGCCAAGACTGTGTGATGATGTATCACCACCCCACCGGAGGCCGGTGGTGTGGTGATACATTATCACACAGTCTTGGCGTGAAACCAGTGCCGGTCACTGAGTTGGTCAAGAACCGCGTCGGCAGCGTATGTGGCCATCCGGCTACTTGACGACCTTTCGATAGCTTGCTTTCGAATCCAGTTTGCACCATTTTGCACCTCTCGCTCATCGCTTTAAAAAAACAAGGAGTGCGCTCTGCAGCGAGCATGTGAGTCCAGTTGTGCATGAGCTTCATGTGCACTCATCTTTGCTTGTACATGTCTGTAGCCGTCCTTTGAAAACATAATCAAATAAAACCAATTCACTTCGGGCAAAACTGTGCCGAGCATTTGATCTGACAGCCCAGCGGTGTTGGAGTGGCTGCCTGTGGTTCTTCTGGTCGGGTTAGCTTGACTGGGAGTGGTAGTGGCAATACCAGCAGTATAGCAGTCAGGGACGGTACCAAAAGTATCGGATGTCACAGGTGTAGAAGCAAATAGAATCCACCAGGCTGACTGCTGCCTACTGGCCGCCCAGCATGCCTGGCGGCGACGCCGCCCGTCTTGCTTTCATGGTCTAAGTTCACTGGGCTGCGTCTCATTGCAAGACCAAAGCCGCACGCTGCTCTCGCATGCCTGGGGGCGACGGGGGCGCATGGTCTGTATCTCCATCGCACTCGGGCAGCGATGGAAGGATGTCCGGGTCACGTTGACCCCTGCAGAGCCCTTTAAGAGCTCTGCAGGGGTCAACGTGACCCCGAATCCTTACATGATCGATTTATGCCAGTCGCCAGCTGTCGTTGTCAAATTGGCAGCATTCCGCGCACCTGTTTCTGCAGTAGTGAGTCCTGGCAGGCACCTTGTGCCATGCCATCAGGCCGAGCACCTCGCACTTCCACAGACGATCTGCCACAACCATTCGGTGTTAAGAATGGCTCGTAAGCGTCATCTTTGGGAGGAAACTCGTCGGGAAGATGATTGAGCTGGACGCCAGCATTCTCCCCCATGTTGCCAGCGACCACGGCATTGACTCTCTCTGGATTTTTGCACGGTCGCATGCTTTTCGGCACGCTGCGGCTGCGCATTTTGCAGTGTGCCACCTGTCGATACTCCAGGAACGTATTCTGGGTGCAAAGCTGCAAGTCTATCTCCTCATTATCTTCAAATTTGAAGATGAGGAGGTAGACGTGCAGCTTTGCACCAAGAATACGTTCCTGGAGTATCGACAGTTAGGTCGTTAGCTGCCGCGCTTGCCGAGGGCTCGGCTTGGAGTGGACCGGCTCAGCGGGAGGCGGAGGCGGTGGAGGCCGGAAATCTTCCGGGAGCTTTTGACGCGCCCAGCACGAGCAAATCGAGGCTTGAGCACCGCCCATGGTTCAGCTGGACACCGTGTCGTATCAATTCTACATGTCGCCAGGTGGAAATACAGGAACAAAAACTGCCCAAGGCATGATGCACTGTGGCGGTGTGCTCGTTTTGCAAGTCCCTGCTGATGCATGCTGCAGCTATCTTTACCCCGAGATTGACAGGAGATGAAACGCTAGAGAAACACTTGAGACAAACGCTGTGGAAAGCAATGGTCAAAATCTGCATGCATAGCAGGCGGCCTTGATCCTCTGCAGAGCTTGCACTCTCTGGGAGAAGGAACAAAATCTAATCAGAGGACTGCAAGGCTTCTTACTTCTTTTGGCCGATAGCCTCCCTCGCCGAAGCCCACCCCGCCAGCGCCTTGGGCTCACGCTCCCTCAAGATCTTCTTGCCACGGTCTGCCAGGATGCGTCCGAGGATGCATCGTCAAGTTTAAAATGTGAGCAGTCGCTTGGGAAGTCACTGACGACTCTGCTGTTTCTGCCTTTATCCTGTCTCAGATGACGAGCAAAGTAGCCGCACTGGCTTGGGTGTTCCACACGATGCTCATGCGACTGCCCACGCTGTCCCGGAGACAAACACTTGCGAATGAGGAGTCGGCGTGTCTTCGCTTTCCGCTGAGAAAGAACTTGCGTCAGCCTCAGTCTCCCCGACATGGCGTAACATGGCCACAGCTGCAGACTGTGGCTTGGACATGCCTCAACCGGCCTGGCAGCTACTAAGAGCAACTTGTACCAGCTTCTAGCTGCTGCCCCGCGACGCATCGGCTCCCATGAGGCTGGAAGGCGAAGTCGCGAGCAAAGCCCAGCGGATACCAGGTCTTCTGGCTTAAGCTCGAAGGTGACACTCTAGTCACTAGCTGCACGAGGGCGACAACGACGCTGCTCAGGATGAGGGTGGCAATGAGCATGACTGCTTCGTTTTAGCGCGAGTTGCTCCTCTGCTCCGTGTAGGAAGGCTTGCGACCCGTCCCGGCTCGACTTGTATGCCAGCAGCTTTGAGAAAACGAGCAGCAAGCATTTGACTATCTTCGCAGGAGGAACAGAACGCTTCCAAACCGAGTCAGGTCGAAAAGCTGAGAGGCACAGCTGACCAAGAGCTTTTTCTTTCGAGCCGCAGCGCTCAGGAAGGCGACCTGAGAATGGAGCTCGGGATCGGGTCCGATTGCATGGACTCTTCCGAGCTCGCTCATTGCTTCCGGGTACAGTTTTTTTAGTACATTGCGAAGAACTGATACCACATGACTGATATAATATAACTTAATACAATATATTACAGTATACTATAGTACCTTATAGTAC